CTTTTTTTGTATATTTATAATGCTGGAATGTTAAAATCCACTTTTGTCTACTTTTATCCTGTTAAAAGACTTGCAAGTCAAGAGAGTAGACAAGTGCGACTGGAAAAGCGCTGGTCACAGTATCAAACTGAACTTCACAACATTCAGAACACCAAGATGAGAAGAAACCATTCAACATGGCTGACTGCTAAAACTGTGAGTAAATGTTTGTTTTTTACCATTTTACCCAAATATTAAAATTAAAATTTTCATTTGCTCCCCCTATACATTTTCAATAGAACTAGTAGGAAGAAGTTATCAAAATTTCAATCAAATTCATCAACCCATTAATTCTCGCTACCACTCTGTGTACCAAGGCGGTGATATTACGAGAAGAAATTTGATTCTGATCTCTCTTGGAGCTTAAAGGGTTATAAACTCAGCGTCTCACTTGTTCCCTGAATGCTGCGTTAATTCTCGTTTTATTTTTTTTAATTTATCTTAAATTCAGTACCTTAATTGCTTCGTTATTATTCTTGTTTTTCAAGCACATATAGTGCTTTTGACATCTAGCAATTGCCATTATACTTTTGTCTATTGATGTGTTATAATTTGTGGCAGTTTTGCTACGTCCGTGAAAAAGTAGACTTTTCTTACTCTTTCATATACATGTATTTTGCAGAATGTGTTCACCTAACCAGAAATGAACGACAAATAATGATATGCTGCATTGGAGTCATTTGATTGGTCAAATCCTCTTCGCTTGAGCAAACTCATACGTGCCAAATGAATATCTTCTACGTCAAGTTAAGATTTGGTGCAAGTCCATTACGGAAAGAAAATCGTGTGGAGAAAAAAAGAAAACAAAGTTTTATGTAATGTATTATGCTAAATAGTTTTCGGAACTGATCAGAATACTCATGCCGCTTTCCTTGCATCATAACAAACAAAGAAACAATGATGTTGCTACGTAGAAAATTAACTTCTCGAGGCATCAACATTTCATAAGATAGTGCTCAGCAGAGTGAGGTTACAGCTGTAGACAGCTGTTTCGTTCTTATTAAAACTCACTACAGCATAGCTGGAAGCTACTGCACAACAAATCTGATTTGTTTAATTTTTTAACAATTATTCGCCGAAGTAGAGGTAAATATCCACCACTAGCAACCGACGCTGAGGTGAATAATTGTTTTAGTATATACCACATAAGCTTATTAACTAGAAAAGCCAGAAGTACTTTACTTTTGTTAAATGCTCGGAAAATTTAAATCTTGCGCACCGCGTAATGTATTAACGCTGACAATGTCACGTGGTAACTCTGGTGTTGAAATAAGGTCAAATAATGTGAACGAAATGAAGGACTTGAAGGACTCCAGATCCGGAGTTCGAGGTGTTGACCGATCGGCCGCAAACGCCTAGCCTCGAAACCCTGTAATCAAAGAAAAAAAGCGTAGTTCGAGTTTTTAATGTCTCGGTAGTGGATAGTACTTGTCAGGTTAATCACCCGAGTTTAAACCAATCAGCGCTGGGGAACTAAAAGCACTATTTACTTGTGTGGTGTATACTAAATGTAAATAACATTTAATAGTACAAGCTAAGGCTGATGCTACAAATTTGTGTTTGTGGCGATGGTAATTTTGTTATAGTTTTGAATACTTATTGTAAACAGGTGCGAATTAATCTTTTTCGGGAAATTGTTTTTTGTGGATGATATTACTGAGCAAATAGATTGCGTTTACAGAAAAGCCATTTTCACATCACTATTCAAATATGATGGATTAAGCCTTCGATAAAAAAACTACAACATTTGGTATTGTTTCTCTTTTAAGTAACGTTCGTAGAAAACGAAGCAATGGCGATTATATCAGTTACGACGAACTCGCACAATACGTCCCTTACAGGTACCAGGGAAATCGTTTCGAAGGCACAAGTAATCACTTGGAGTTTCGCTCTTGCGTTGGAAGCAGTTGTTATTGTCGTTGGAAACTTGTTCACTATTGTACTCTTTGCATCTAACAAAAAGCTTCGAACTAAGAAAAGTTTATATCTTGTTCTGAATATGGCGTTTGCTGATCTGGTGCTTGGAGGTGTGTGTCTTCCTACATCTGTTTATGTTCTTGGTACTCGTAACCGGTTATCGCAAGAACTTACAACTCCAACCAGTTTTTTAAAAATTGTCGTTACGGTTTTCTCGCAAGCCTCACTCATTACCGCTGCTTTGATATCTGCAGAGAGATTTTACGCCATCTATTGGCCGCTGAAGCACCGAACACTTACTTCGCGAGCAAACAAGCTCGTTATTTTGACGGTGTGGATTGTAGCAACTCTTTTTCATACGGTTTATCTTCTGCCATTCTTCACCCCTCTAGCTGTGTATACGTTCGTATCTTTTTACGCTTTGTTTCTAGTTCTCACAATTTGTGGTTTTAACATCGGTATCTGGCGAAAATGCCAGCAAAAAACTACTTCTCATCACCAGAACAGAGCCTTACAAAATCAGCGCCTGACAAAGGCGTTAATATTAGTATCTATTTCGACTTCGTGTTTTTGGTTCCCGACGATTATTTACAATTTGATAAGTATTTTTGGATACAAAATGTCTGAAAACATTTTCCTCCTAACTTTGTTTATACATTTTACCAGCTCGTTTATCAATCCAATAGTGTACGCTTTGAGAATTCCTGAATCTAGGCAATCTTTAGATTTCTTCTGTTTTAGAAGGCGGGAAGTAAAGCACAGCAAAGGAAATACAAGAAGAGCTGATATCGCATCCAATCACAACAAGGTACAGCTCACTTTCGAACGGGAAATTGTCGAGGATACAAAATTGTGATCATCCCTTTGAAGCTCATCTAGCTGACGATAAACTTTCGAGAAAAATAGCGATAATCATTGAAACGCTCAACTTCACAACCAAAAAGTTGTTTGAAATTGGTAGAATGTACACAGAAAACTCTATCTTTGAAATATTCTTCTTAAATCCATTTAGAGAACTCAGAACTTGGAGACCGAATTTCATTAGTTCTACCCAACGTTCTTTCTATGTTGTTCGTTAACTAAAGGTGATGTTACACGAGACGATTCGCAGCGACGATTTTTAGCGCAATATGAAAAAAACAGCGTTGCGACATTGTTTTAAAGAGTTACAACATTGTTCCAACACTGTAATGCTGTGTTGCGCAAAAAAACGTCGTTGCGAATCGTCCTGTGTAACATCACCTTAAGAAACGTAGTAATATAGCGATTGCTTAAAGCGAAGTCGGCTTGGCGGCTTTGAAACAGTTAAACTATGATCCCTGCCAAAATGGTTCGCATGTAATCTTGCTAGCACCCGCAACTTATGCGTGTGGGAAGAGTAAAGGAACTAACGTTTTATGTATTTTGCTAAATAGTTTTAAATTCATGAGAACTGTCCTTAAAACGGGCAACGTAAACGTGCAACTGGTTTTGCAACATTGTTGCAAAACGAGTTCAATAGCAATGTTGCGAGTTTTACCCACCACATTAAACCTGTCTTGCAATAAATCAGGTTATTGGAAGTTGCGTAAATACCGACGTCTGATTGGAGAAAATTACGCGGGAGTCACGCCATACACTGGTGTGGAGTTGCGTCACCTGCTACAAAACAAGTTTGCCTTGGGCTGGTAAAACGTGTAACATGACTGTACTTTTTTTGTGGCAGAATTCTTTCTTCCTGGAACAACTAGTCGCAATTTGCAAAAACCTGATGTGAATGTGGGTAGTATAACGTGCGACATTGCTTTTAAGCTCGTTTGGCAGCAATGTTGCCAAACAAGATGCACGTTCTTTGCCCGTGTTACCGTAGCTTTAATGCAGTAAGCAAAGCAGCTAGGCTGAAGCTAAGTAAAAAATTTAGCTCTGCTCGACAACTCAGCGTCTTTTGAGGAAGGAAGAGATAGGACCTTGGGAACGAGGCTGAACTGTGGATAGCTGGGACAGCTGTTTCGTACACGAACAGCATTCACGTCCCCAGAGCCACTCGGCTTGATTTGGCCAAGAAACGACGGGATCTGGGAATGAGAATGTACGATCACATGAACAGCGCGGCATATCTGTCGTTGATTGAATTCTTTGGCAAAAGTTTGTCTGCAAATAATTATCCCGAAAAGCAAAAACTATTAAACGATTGCGGAAAAGTCCATCGAATATTGAAGTAAGTGAGATCCAAAGTTAAAACGACGAAGCAGACGCAACTTTGTAACTAACAAATTAGTTTGCAAAAAATGACGCGAGGTTGTTAAAAATAATCGGTGAGGGTAAAAGGCGGATTGAGTTTGCGGAATGGCATGTGGTAGGGCTTGCAGAATGACATAATTATGCGGAATGTAAAATATGGAAAATGGCGCAAAGAAATAAATTAAACTGAAAAACATGTGCGCGTCTTTGCCGCGCCTTTTTTTTGGCGCCAATTTGAGTGAGCAACTTTTTTGCTGGTCCATTTATTACTTCTGGCTTAGACCAACAAGGCAGAGCAGAAAGTAGCGATAAGCTTTACTGCATTTGTGTCTATGTAATACTTAATTGATACTTAATTTATTTTTGTTGCTTTCGACAATACTTTCTCTCTTTCTGCCCANAAACTGAAAAACATGTGCGCGTCTTTGCCGCGCCTTTTTTTTGGCGCCAATTTGAGTGAGCAACTTTTTTGCTGGTCCATTTATTACTTCTGGCTTAGACCAACAAGGCAGAGCAGAAAGTAGCGATAAGCTTTACTGCATTTGTGTCTATGTAATACTTAATTGATACTTAATTTATTTTTGTTGCTTTCGACAATACTTTCTCTCTTTCTGCCCACCATTATAGTAAAGTCAAATGTCAAAACGCTATAGCGAAAAGAACGCTTGTTGAACGTGAGGTCGGGTTAGCTACAATTCTAAGGATTATTAATTATCGTAATTAATACGGTGGACGGATCAGATCATATTTGAGACTAAATAAACGCCCCGAGTCAGACATTAATCTGTAATCCAGAAATCGAGTGAAGCGAACTGCTCTCTGTCTCCTTTCGGCCTTTCCGCGTGTCTTCGCACCTTCCTTGTTTGTGTGAGTGTGTGCGTTTGATCGTGAAAAAATTCTAAAACGGTAGGAAGGGAGAAAAAAAAGACACACACTCAATTGCCAGGATTCGAACTTGCCCTTCTCCGCCAGCTGTTAGCTTCGCGTGCTGGAAACTTAACCAAGCAGCTAAGGAAACAAAGTACAAGATCCGTTTTAATCTCTGAACCCACCGTCTGAAAAAGAAACACTTCTCACGTGGTTGCAAATACAAATATAGGTAAAAGGAAATTGTAAAGTTAATCGTGCAAACATCTTTTGCAGAAAAAATTAATTAAGTAGAAGGGAGCGTGACCTTCCAAAAAATCTTTTCTTCAATAGCCGACTTTCGTGCTGTAGTATCGGTTCTGCCATGCAGCCTGACTAGTAAAGGCAAGAAGAATCTTTGCGGCTGGGCGGAAAAGGCTAATCGACAATTAGCCTTCGTGGCTTTTTTATTGTCATCGTTTGTCAATATTAAAACAGCGGCTGCGTTTGCAAGTTGATTGGCGCCAAGAGATTACGCACTGTTCAGTTTTATTTATTTCTTTGGGTCATTCTGCATATATTACATTCTACCAGGAGCAGATTCGGCTCCTGTTTTCACATAATTATGTCATTCCGCAAGCCATACCACATGCCATTCCGCAACCTCATTCCGCGTCTTACCCTCAGCGGTTGTCAACAGAATTTACGCGAAACCATCCTTTACTTGCTGGCGCAAGTAGTTCCGTGGAGTAGTCTGCAGATTTAATCGAGAACCTTAATAAAAAAAGACTCCATTCCCACCGTTGCCAGCAGTCTGCTACAGCCTTGCTGTTTAAAAACGCAGAAGTCTAGGACTAAGTGCAGTTTCGTAAAGACAGGGATCGAAACGGACAATGATAAATATAGATGCTGGAAGATTCTTATTCCAACAAAGATACTATTTATATGAACGTAATGTATATTACGAAAAATGAAAATGTAGAAATGATCGTCGCAGTGAACGCAATTTATGCAATTGCGTAAAGAAGACTGAAAAAAATTCAGGACTTCAACGAGGTTTGAGCCCGTGACCTCACGATTACCGGTGCGATGCTCTACCAACTGAGCTATGAAGCCACTGACGTTGGGAGTACGTCAATTGTGGGTCATATAAGGCAATGTAAAAAAAACACCTTGATATAAGTTAACGAACCTCGTTATAACGAGGATATTTTGCCAGTCTCTTGGCCCTTCGTTATATCGAGGTTCCACTGTATTTAATTTTATTTCTTTTTTTTTTTTCAAAAAGTGTTGGGGGGGCCTGGCTCCCACAGCCCTTCCCCCTGCGCGGGCCCTGTGATTTCATACGATAAAACTCAGCCGAGCGGGGTGGCAGCTGTACACAGCTGTTTTGTTCTCATTTGAACTCGTTTAGTGTAGCCAGACGCTGCATGTTGCAGAGAACTGAGCTGGTAAAATGTACAAATTACAAGCATAATCTGTCTGAGTGGCTGTCTACAAATAAACTGATTCTCAATTTAAAGAAGACTGAGTTCATGGGTTTTCGAACCTATTGTATAAATCGATGATACTACCAAATTTGGAATACTGTTGTGCTGTTTTTCATGGCTGTGGTAAAGGAAATGAAGAAGAATTGGAACGCCTGCAGAGACGTGCTGCTAGGATAGTGTTAAAAACGGTGCATTTGTCCACTCAAGATATGGCTTCCAGTCTTGGTTGGGACCCTCTTAAGACAAGAAGAGAGAAACATATCGTCAAACTTGTCAAGAATTGTTTTGATGGACAAGCTCCAAGTTATTTCTCAGATTATTTTCGACGGCGAACTTATGATATTCATGACTATGACACTAGGTCTAAGGATGGGTTATCTATTGATAAAATAAATCTCGAGTTGACTAAGAGGGCCTTTTTTTATAAGGGGGCTACCCTTTTTAATGATTGTATGTAGTTTTGTTCATAAGGAGGCTACCTTTTTTCATTGATTATAATTATGTAATGTATCCCAGTTTCGTATATAATTAATGTTTTTATCTTTTTATTCATTTATTTTTATACAGGACCCATATTGATAGCAGTTTTTATAACTGAAATGGTCATCCTGTTTAAACATGTTATTATTATTATTATTATAAAAGCCATTCACCTGTATAGTCTAGATGATTAGAAATTTCGTTAGCGGTCCCTTTCTGATTTCACTGTTACTTCTGAGCTTACTTTCTGTATCGTCTTAGTATAATGAAGGTGTTTCCAAACTGTATTTACATCTGTTAAAGATATAAGATTTAAATTTTCTTTGTACCAACCGGAAACATTCCTAAAAGTGACCTCTCTTTTTCTTACCCTGCTACTTAAGTTTAAACTGCAGTTTGGTTAAAATTAAAAGTTTCCTTCATGGCTTGAATTGATTACTCTTGCTGTATGTCTTAACTGTGTTAAAGATTTTTATTTTGTATTTGCTGCAATATTAATAGCTTTCAACATTCACCAGCTTTGAATAAGAATTGTAGTCTAAACTATGATTTTCGCCAGTAAGGATTTAACAGAAATATGGTCCATTGTTCCTTCTTCAATTTCTTACCAATATAACCATCTGGCAATAAACTGGTCTGAAGAAAGGAAAGGAAAGAGAGTTTTCGGGATTTTTTCAGTAGTTTCCAGAAGTGATCAGATTTCGCCATCTACTAGTTCCATCCAACATAACAAAACAAAGAAGCAATGATGCTACGTAAGAAAATTAACTTTGCATAGAACTCAGGCGGCAAGATGGCTGCCTTTATAGACAGCTGTTTTGTTCTTGTCAGAACGCGTCAGTACAGTTTAGCAAGAAGAGGTTGCACAAGAGATCTTATCTGCCAAAATATAAAACCAACAAGCCAAAATGCTTTTTTATATTGCAGCTGATAAGAATTATCGTAAACGATCCCGGATTTTCCCCACTTCATTGTTTCTTCTAATGTAACATTCTACCACTTCATAGTATAGTGAGAGAGTTTCCAAAGTATACCGTATTTACATTTGTTGAAGAAATTAAGCGTTTCCGATTCTTTGTTCGTATGTGAAGGTTTTTTAAAAGTGACCTCTCCTTTTGTTTCCCTGCTGCTTTGTTTAAGTTTAAACTGCATGACGTAACTTACATTTAAGGTTTGGTTGAAATGAAAAGATTGCTTCGTGGGCGATAAGTTTCTTTGAATCGAAACTCATATCATGACGTCACTCTTGATTAATTTGCTTTTGCTGTATATTTCAACTGTGTTTCCTCCAATGTTAACAGCTTTCAGGTCAGTTGTTTTTCTTTATAGTTTTAATGGTGGGTAATTTTTTATAGCTTTTTGTAAGCCCTGTGTGGATGAAACAGGTGTGTTTTGCGGGTGACAGTACTAAGCAAATAGACTGTGTGCACAGATAAGCCAATTTTATATTATGTGGAAACTTGGCCCATTTTAAGGGCTGGCAGTCAAAATAATGGATTTTGGCATGGACGAGAAATCAGCAAAATTTTCATGATAAGAACATTCAACTCTGAGGTCATGTCATTTCTCTCCTTCTGGTAATCCACGCTATACGTTGAAGTAACGTGAAAACAACAACCGCAAAAAGAAAACAAACAATGAAAAATACATCAGCTACTACAGTTTCACACGTTGAGTCCCCTATGCAAACAGAAGAAGCCCTTTCTAAGGCACAAGTCATCGCTTGGAGCTGTGCTCTTACTTGGGAAGCTTCTTTCATTACTTTGGGAAACTTTCTCACAATTGTTATCTTTGCATTTATCAAGAAGATTCGCGTTAAGAAAAGTTTATATCTTGTTGTAAATATGGCATTTGCGGATCTAGCGTTGGGAAGTGTGTGTCTCCCTTTATCTATTTTTATCATCGACACTCGCCACCAATTGACGATAGAACGATCTCCGTTTTTTCTCAAGATCATTATTGTAATTTTTGCCCAAGTGTCGTTTATTACCGCTGCTTTGATATCTGCTGAGAGATTTTACGCCATCTATTGGCCGCTGAAGCACCGCACACTTTCTGCGCGAGCATACAGACTTGTTATTTTGACGCCGTGGATTTTGAGTATCCTTGGTTCTATTTTTACAGTTTTTCTCCTGCACTTCGTAAGCGTAGTGGGTTTATTTTTTGGACTATGTTTGTACGGCTTGTCTGTTGTTCTGATCATCTGCGGCCTGAACATCGGTATTTGGAGAAAATTTCAACAAAAAACTGTTCCTCATTTGCAAAACAGAGCCTTGCAAAACCAGCGCTTAACAAAGGCATTGATGTTTGTTTCTGTCATGGCTTTGAGTTCTTGGCTGCCTGCAGTCGTTTACAACTTGGCAGACTTTTTTGAATACAAAATGTCTGACAACATTTTCCTTGTATCTTTTTTTATGTATTTTTCCAACTCCTTTATCAATCCTGTCGTATACGCATTACGAATTCCCGAGTTTAAACAAGCCTTGAATCAATGTTGTTTCGCAAGGAAGAAAGTGAAGCGAAGCCAAGAAAATTTAAAAGGAAACGAGAAGGCTGCCGATTTGACGCTGGTGATGCACCGAAGAACATTGACTACAGATCACAATAATTTACAGCTCACTTTTGAACAGGAAATTGTAGATAATGACTTGTGATCAACCTTGTAACTTTTCTGTCCTTAAAGGTTCGCCCTCCTAAGTTTAGATCGAAATTACGAGTACTGCATGTCTTTGCATGTCCGAATTCTTGATTAATAAATCATCTATGTAAATCCGGGTATTAAAATACTATCGAAGCTTTTATAAACTAAAGAGTTTGTTTTATTAAAAGTCTGCTTCAGTAATAGCAGGGGTACCCAACGAGGATATAGTTCAAAACCACTTAACATAGCATTGTTGAACGTATTTTAGTATTCAAACGGTAGATATAGGCATATTTTTATCCCCTAAAAACTTTTCATCTGTTCGGATTTCCTAGCTGAAAGTCTAGTGATCCGAAAATTATAGGGATCAAAACTTAACTTCTCGAAAATTTCAGCCAGGAAAAGGCTCCCGAAAATTCTAGGTGGCCTTTTTTAGGGTCAAAATCCGTTAAAAATGGGTAATTATACCATTTTGTAGATGTTCGAAAATCCTAGGAGAGGCAGGCAAGCAAGAAATTTTACAACAAATTCTCCGAAAATTCTAGATCTCAAATCGTCTTCCGAACAGATATTTTCCCGAAAATTGCCGTTGGGTGCCCCTGTAATAGGCAGCCAATTCAGGTTATTGAAGCTTGAGAACCCCGTGGTCATCATGTGACAGGATTCCGCTCAGCAGCTGTCCCAAACGATACCCCGGCCCGTACATTAAAATAGGTTTGATAACTTCGTTATAAGTTTCTCTTTCTTTCCTTTGTACCTAGGGAATCACGTTCTTAGGGAGAGCTAGGTGTTTAGATCTTTCTTTTTGCAAAGTTCGTTAATATTTGAGTCGTAAGCCATATTTCAGTCAAGAGTGACACCGAAACGTTTTTGCAAAGGGTCTTATTTAGGTACTGGGTCAGAGATTAAATAACCGAAAAGCGCGCAGTAGCTGTTAATGTTGCATCGTCTGCGAAAATATCAACAGTAGATCTTGATTGCCGTAGTGGAAAGCAGGAAAAGAACAGGTCCTAAAACAGAACCCTGTGGCACGCCTTGTTTGTTTTATAGTTTGAGCGTCTTGTCTAATTCGTCCTTGTAATCTGCGTCAGCCTGTGTATAGCCACCTCCTCCCCTCAGAAAGAGAGACGTGTTCGCTAATAATTTACGACAGTTTTTAAAGGAAAAGACGGGCCAACACCTCTCTTGTACGCACATGCACAATTATTCTCAGCCGGCTAACTAGAATATATTAGCTAAAATACCGTTTGTTTGTGCTCTTTCCTTTATAAAGAGTATATTATACTGTGGATCATATTCTCACCTTTGACTAAGTAAATGCTATAGTTTTCTCCGCTCGCAATACATTAGTGATCATGAGGCCGGTCGTCTTACTGTATATCGATTTCCGCGTGGTTTCACTCTGAATTGAGAGGCACTGTAGGCAGAGCTAAACAACAATCTTTACTCTGCACTTGACTTAAATTATTGATATACGAAGGTAAAAGAACCCAATTTGTCTGTTAAAAGCATTTGCAAAAAGTAGAAATTTTTGTTTGTTTTCAGACGGCGGTACCTTTTTCCTTCCCTCTGGAAAATTTTCCTACGCTCAACAAATACTGGAAAAAAGAAACCACTGACCTGTTATCATACAAAAGCAACAGCACTATTGATACACGGATACAGTCACTGATACAGGACAGGTACTAATCGAGATAAAAAAAAAAAAATAAGTATTGGTTCATAAAACGGATGAATTTAGGTTTCTGGGAAACTGTCCTCCTCCTCCTCCCCTAACTCAACGTTAACATTTGCGTCTTACTTGGGGCAAAATGTTGGGTTAGGAGAGGGGTAGGTGGGCAGTTTCCCAGAAACCTAAATTGTTCCAATAAAGCATCTCTCACGTAAAGCTGTAACTCAAAAGGTATATTTTCTTCGCTTTGTTTATCAATGAGTACCTTGAACTGTTAAATTGCCACTGACATAAGTAAGTCAGACAGAAGTGTATAGAGTCTGTGCGAGGCGACCGTGTTGGCGGAGTAAACACCAAAAAAATATTTGCATAAAAGTGAAAATTTTTTCCCAAAGCAAAAGCGTTTAATTGTTTTACTCCTTCAAATGGCCGTCGCGCACTTACTCTATAATCCTTTCTAAGACTTTTATCAAAAGGTTGGCAAGTACAGTGGAACCCCGTTAATACGGTCACCATGCAATGGGCCAAAACAAATTGGTCGTATTAACGAGAGTTTTTAACAAGAAACTGTATGGCCGTTTTGCTAGGCGGATAAAAAAAAGTGGCCGTAACAACGAGGTGACCGTAAGGCGGGGTTTCACTGTACGGCCAATGTCTCCTTTTCCTCCTGCACTGATAGGACTATGTATTAAAAGACTGGCTCTCTAGCTTGACCTTAGGTGCAACGGTGCAAAAAGTCTTCTCGTAATAGTTATAAAACAAGTCTTCCATAAAAAGGAGGTCAGAAATACGTCATCTTCAGTCGCCGATGAAGACCTTAGGCGGTAATGAGCCCCTGAAAAACGAAACGGGGAGGGGGGTGGGTGGAGGCTATACACTAGTATCAACAACATAACCTCTGCCCTAAAAAGTCATAGGGGGATAGAAACAGTTTAGTAGGGATTGCATTCTGCGAACAATGGTATCGATATTAATTGAATCGTTGACCCTCATCGTTTCAGTTGTAGGAAGGAGATGATGTTAAAGGAGGTCTCTTGTTTAACATTAGGTGTAACTGTGATAAACCTTTTGCTTTTCAGATTATATATTTATAAATGCTAGATGCTAGTTGTCTACTTTTATCCTACAGACTTGCGAGTCAAGAGAGTAGACAAGTGCGACTGGAAAAGCGCTGGTCACAGTATCAAACTGAACTTCACAACATTCAGAACACCAAGATGAGAAGAAACCATTCAACATGGCTGACTGCTAAAACTGTGAGTAAATGTTTTTTTTTTCTTTTTACTTTTTTACCCAAATATTAAAATTAAAATTTTCATTTGCTCCCCCTATACATTTTCAATAGAACTAGTAGGGAGAAGTTATCAAAATTCCAATCAAATTCAATTCATCATTCCATTAATTCTCGCTACCACTCTGTGTGCCAAGGCGGTGATATTACAAGGCGAAATTTGATGCTGATCTCTCTAGGAGCTTAAAGGGTTATAAACTCAGCGTCTCACTTGTTCCTTGATTGCTACGTTAATTCTCGTTTTATTTTTTCTAATTTATCTTAAATTTAGTACCTTAACTGCTTCGTTCTTATTGTTGTTTTTCAAGCACATATAGTGCTTTTGAATTCTAGCAATTCCAGTATACTATTGATGTGTTTTAATTTGTGGCAGTTTTGCTACGTCCGTGAATAAATAGACTTTTCTTACTCTTTTATATACATGTATTTTGCAGAATGTGCTCACCTAACCCGAAATGAACGACAAATAATGATATGCTGCATTGGAGTCATTTCATTGGTCAAATCCTCTTCGCTTGAGCAAACTCATACGTGCCAAATGAATATCTTCTACGTCAAGTTAAGATTTGGTGCAAGTACATTATGGAAAGAAAATCGTCTGGAGAAAAAAAAGAAACCAAAGTCTTATGTAATGTATTATGCTAAATATTTTTCGGAACTGATCAGAATACTCATGCTGCTTTCCTTCCAACATAACAAACAAAGAAACAATGATGTTGCTACGTAGAAAATTAACTTCTTGAGGCATCAACATTTCATACGATAGTGCTCAGCAGAGTGTGATTACAGCTGCAGACAGCTGTTTCGTTCTTATTAAAACTCACTACAGCATAGCTGGAAGCTACTGCACAACAAATCTGATTTGTTTATATTTAAACAATTATTCGCCGAAGTAGAGGTAAATATCCACCACTAGCAACCGACACTGAGGTGAATAATTGTTTTTAGTATATACCACACAAGCTGAATAACTAGAAAACCCAAAACTACTTTACTTTTGTCAGATGCTCGGAAAATTTAAATCTTGCGCGCCGCGCGATGTATTAACGCTGACAATGTCACGTGGTAACTCTGGTAATGAAATAAGTTCAAACAATGTGAACGAAATGAAGGACTTCAAACGGTGAACGATATTCAGAAATAAAATTCCAGTGGCTTTAGACTCCGCAACCTTGTAAAGATGGAAAAAATAGGTTAAGGCGCACACGACCTAAAGGCCCAAACGGCCTGATCGTACTTGGTTTCCTTAGCAATGCCTAGGAGTTTTGTTACTTTTTCCCTGGACGAGAAGTTAGTCTATCGTAGGATTAGCAACTCTTATTCACACGGTTTATCTTCTGCCATTCTTCACTCCACTAGCTGTGTATACCTTCGTATCTTTCTACGCTTTGTTTCTAGCTCTCACAATTTGTGGTTTTAATATCGGTATCTGGCGAAAATGCCAGCAAAAAAATACTTCTCATCACCAGAACAGAGCCTGACAAAATCAGCGCCTGAGTGACAAAGGCGTTATTATTGGTATCTGCTTCAACTTCGAGTTCTTGGCTTCCGCGACGATTCTTTTCAATTTGATAAGTATTTTTGGATACAAAATGTCTGAAAACATATTACTCCTAACTTTGTTTATACATTCTACCAGCTCGTTTATCAATCCAATAGTGTACGCTTTGAGAATTCCTGAATCTAGGCAATCTTTAGATTTCTTCTGTTTTAGAAGGCGGGAAGTAAAGGAAAGCGAAGGAAATACAAGAAGAGCTGATATCGCATCCAATCACAACAAGGTACAGCTCACTTTCGAACGGGAAATTGTGGAGGATACAAAATTGTGATCATCCCGTGGAAGCTCATCTAGCTGACGATAAACTTTCGAGAAAAATAGCGATAATCATTAAAACCCTCGACTTCACAACCAAAAAGCAGCTTGCGATTCAAAGTAAATAACTGGATTAAACTATTGCAATAGTTACATGTTGTGACAGTTGGTTGAAATTGGTGGAATGGAAACAGAAAACTCAATCTTTGACATATTCTTCTTAAATCCATTTAGAGAACTCAGAACTTGGAAACCGAATTTCATTAGCTCTATCCTACGTCTTTTCTATGATGTTGTTCGTTAACTAAGAAACGTTGTAATAGAATCTGATGGTCCTTGCCGTTTAATACTTATGCAAGCGACTGCTCAAAGCGAACTCGGCCTGCCGGCTTTGAAACAGAATTATACTAGTTTAAACTACGATCCCTGCCAAAATGTTTCGCACGTAATCTTGCTAGCAGCCGCAACTTATGCGTGTGGGAAGAGTAAAGGAACTAACGCTTTATGTATTTTTCTAAATAGTTTTCAATTCATGAGAACTGTCCTTAAAACGGGCAACATAAACCTGCAACTGGTTTTGCAACTTTGTTGCAAAACGAGTTGAATAGTGATGTTGCGAGTTTTACCACCCACGATCAAACCTGTCTTGCAGCAAATCAGCTTATTACAAGTTGCGTAAATACCGACTTCTGATTGGATAAAATTACGCGGCAGTCACGCCGTACACTGGTGTGGAGTTACGTCACCTGCTGCAAAACAAATTTACCTTGGGCTGGTAAAACGTGTAACATGACTGTACTTATTTTGTAGCAGAATTCTTTCTTCCTGGAACAACTTTTCGCAACTTGCAGAAACCTGATTTTTTGCAAGACAGGTTTGAATATGGGTAGTATAACGTGCAACATCGCTTTAGCAATTTTGCTAAACAAGATGCACGTTTTGCCCGAGTTACCGTAGGTTATGGAATTTCCGGCGTTTGAGTGGATACGAATAAGCCGGAAATGAAATATTTCTTCGACACGGGAGCAGTGGGGACTGGGGCAGTTGAAGTGCAGTATGGGTAGAATGGAGCGCTATAAAAGGGATGCTTATCACGTGGGAAAGCATTCTAGGCCGACACCTCGTCTAGCTTATGTTATTTTATATTTATTTATTTATTTATTTTAGTATATATTTGATTTACTAGTGGCAGTTCGTTTTTTCCAGGGGTTTCTTAGCTTGTTTGCGTTTCTTAAATTATTTAGAGTTTGCCGTCCTTTGTTGGAATACTTGTTTTGTAAATAAGGGCAAAGTCCTTCCAGCCGTGTAGCCTTCGTAGGATGGGCTTTTCAGAGCATGAGCCATGGATCCTACCCAGATTTCCTGCCGAGTTTTTTTCCCTCACTGAGGTTTTTATCCGGCAGGTTTTTTCTGGCCTCTGTTCTGACAGTATTCTGTGTAAACTGTCACTCAGCTCTGTTCTAGTTCTTACACCACATATTTGAATGTAATAGAAGATGTTGTTGTATAATGTATTGTTATATCTGCGGTGCTCGGCCGAAACAACCAAAATAAACCTTATGGTTTTTCTATTCATGTTGTACTGCGTAGTGGAGCCGAAATTAATGGATTAATTCAGTAAGCAAAGCAGCTAGGTTGAAGCTGCGTAGAAAATTTACCTTTGTACGACAACCCAGGATCTTTTGAGGAAGGAAGAGATAGGACCTTGGGAACGAGGCTGAACTGTGGAGAGCTGGGACAGCTGTTTCGTACGAACACCATACTCGTCCCCAGAGCCACTCGGCTTAATTTGGCCAAGAAACGAAGGGCTCTGGGGATGAGGATGTACGAACACATGATGAGCGCGGCATATCTGTCGTGGATTGAATTCTTTAGCAAAAGTTTGTCTGCAAATAATGATACCAGAAAGCAAAACCTATTAAACGATTGCGGAAAAACTCCATCGAATATTGAAGTAAGTAATATCCAAAGCTAAGACGGCGAGGCAGACGCAACTTTGTAACTAGCAAATTAGTTTGCAAAAAATGACTCGAGGTTGTTAAAAATAATGCAGCAAAAAAGAAAATTGTGTAATAATGTATAAGTTATTTGTTGTTCGCATTACAATTGATTTGACTTTTAAAACGATTTTTTTCGTGACAAATCGTCTCGGGCCTGTAAAACCCGGTCCAAGAGCCGCGAAACCAATAACCCCTCCGAACGTCTAATATAATTATCGCATCGAAGTAAAAATTACATTTATGTTAATAGCTTATCTGGTGCTACTTTGTGATTTTTTTGAGAATTTTCGATTTTTCACTTTTGTAGACCTCAGGTCGATATTTACTGATATCCGCTCTTAGTACCTAGAATTACTTACCTAGGATTTTTACTTTTTCGTCAAGCTTATTCGAATTTAAAGTCGACCCAAATACAAATCTGATCCTGAATTGACGATCCTTGCGTCGAACGTCTTATGCTGTTGATAATGAAAATACTAATAATGGCACGTATAGAGTGTTTTCACTCACGTGGTCAGCATCTATGCAAATTTATTGGAACAAAAGAAAGCGTTTGCATAAGAAAAGAGTTCAACTCCCAAAGGATTGGTTTGGAACACCAACATGGCCGCCGTGACGTCATGTGAATGTAAACTTTGACATTTGAGAAATTAAAAACTAGAAGAAACGTTTTACAACCACTAGTCATTTCTTTCAAATATGAAAATAAAGCCAAATTTGGAGGCAATCGGAAGTAACGCAATTTTTTGCGAGTTTTTTTTCGTCCCCGATGCCACAGCATCGACGGTCATAGGCGCCGGAGAATTTTCGCTCATGAAGGTTCAAAAAAATGCTAAGCTAAGTTCTATTCTTGGTGGCGATTTCGTTGGTGGCGAGGTGACCAGATACCGACGGGAAAGATGAAGAGAAAGAAGGCTCTCTTTCTTGTCCCTTAACATCACCCTGCGCGAGTATCTCTCTGGCGCCTCTTTCATAAATATTTGCGTTCGAGGTTAACCTGAGATCAGGCTCAATTTTCGTTTCGCTTTGTAACATTCCGGCGGGCAAGGCGAAACGAAAACAGTTTAGCGGTAGCCGTTAGAAAGAATGTATGCGAACCGCTAAAATTGGGCCTGATCTCCGGTTAGTTCAAGGTACGAGAACGCAACCCCTAAT